GATAAATATAAACTCTAATAAAAGCCAAGTGTTAAGCCTGTAGTACTCCTGACAGACCTACTGATCAGTAGAGCACATGCAATAAAAACTAACAACCTGCTGCTAAGAAAATATAAATTAAAAGATGAGCCTTTTCCTTGGAGTTTATTTTCTTGCAGTTTATTTTCTTATGGTTTATTGTGCCCCTTCATGCACTGTTTTTTTTTTAATTGATAAAAATGTAGATGCAAAATTCAGCAATCTAAAATGAAGATTTACCTTTACATAATAATAACACATATATTTTACTACAGAGAAAAATGTAAACACTAAGTTCAACAAGTAAAAGATTATAAGGGCAAAAACCTTTTCAAGTCAGGGAAAAACATTCTTTTGAAAATGTTCGGGACAAGCAGATGGTGTAATGGTTAAGTTGTGGACTCCCACGTAGCTGACCGTGGTTCAAGTCTCAGATCCAGTGGCCTAAAACATGTTGGGCATGCGTGCCCCAAATCCTGAGAAGTAAATGAAAGAGAAGGGATTGAGTGTGGCCATCCTCCCTGGGGGGGTGGGTGATTTTTTGCTTTCTGTCTGTTTCTGGTGAGTGCACAAGCCCGATAGCAAAAATCTCTCTCAAAAAATTAAAAAAAAAAAAAAAAATCAAACCCCTGGCCTTCCTATTCTGGAACTCATCTGTTTGGAAGTCAGAGGCAAAAAGAAAAGAAAAGAAAGGAAAGGGAAGGGAGGAAAGGAAAGGAAAGAAGTCCGCTGCCACCTGGATGTTTCTGCCTACAACCCATCAGAAGTGCTCTCCCTGTGCTCCACGCATGTGCACGTGGCCAGCCTGTGCAGGCAGTTCCAGGAGAAATGAAAGCCGGTAAGACACTGAGAATGAGAGGGAGAATATACAGGAAGCACTCGATTCTGCCACCTTTTTTTATTCGGTTGGGGAGAAAGGATTTTTTTTTTTTTTGCTATAGGGCACATGCACTTGCCAGAGAGACAGAAAGCAAGAATCACCCCCAGCAGGGTTGGCCATGCCACAATTCCTTCTCCTCCATCCTCCTCTCAGGATTTCGGGCATGCATGCACACACGCACGCACACACGCACGCACACACGCACACACATGCACGCACACACGCACACACACATACTCATTGTCTGTTTTAAGCTGCCGGGTCCAGGACTTGAATTGTGGGGACCACATGGGGGCAAAGTGCCTTTACTGTGTAACCTGCCGGGCCTTTGCCCACCTTTTTTTGTTTTTTTCTTTCTTGCTATAGGGCGCGTGCGCTCACCAGACAGACAGAGAGAGACAGAGTCAGAAAGCGAGAAATCACCCCCCAGAGGGGGTGGTCACGCCGCAATCCCTTCTCCTCCATTCTCCTCTCGGGATCTTGGGCACGCAAGCACACGCGCCCGGCGTGAGTTTTAAGCCACCGGGTCCGGGACACGAACCGTGGTTGACTACGTGGGAGTCCAGCGACGACACAGCCATTACGCCAATTGCTGGTTCCCCCTTGCCTACCTTTTATATCCAACTGGTGAGCTACATCTAACTACAATACAAACTTATAATGGTTTGACATACAATTTTCCAACTTTAGGATGGAGTGAAAGTAATACATGTTCAGTAGAAACTCTACTTAGAATTTCGATTTTTGGTCTTGTCTTTGGCTAGTGACATGCATACGATGCACTCTCTGGATGCAGTGAGCTGCAACGCCCAGTCAGCCCCTTGACAGTCCACAGTGTAGCATGTTGCTGCATGATTTTGCCAACTGCAGGCCGCCATGGGTGTTCTGAGCACATTTAAGGCCAGCGAGGCTCGACTCTGATGTTCGACAGGCTGAGGGCATGAAACACATTTTCTTTTTTTAAGAATTATTTATTTTATTATTACTTTAATTCACTAGGGCGCGGGGTGAGTAAGAAAGCAGGCTGCCAGGTCCAGGACTCGAACCGCGGTTAGTCAGGTGGGAGTCCAGTGCCCCAACCACCATGCCACCTGCTGGCCCCATGAAATGCATTTCCAATTTAAGGATATTTTCAAGTTATGATGGGTTTATGGGTTGTGACCTCACATAAACTGAGAAACATCTGTATACATTTAGGTTAACGAAAACCCCACAGGCTTTTAAAAATTAAAACTGACAAGAATTCACTTCTTTGGCAAGTCAAAAATTCCCTAGGCTATACTTAAGAAGAAAAAATTGAAATAGGTAAGATTACAAGGTTTCTTGAAAGAGTTATTACAAATAATTTTTTAATTATTTATTTAATTTTACATATTACTATTTTTTAATTTGCCGCAGGATATGTGCACCCACGAGAGAGACTCAGAGAGAGAGAGGAAAAGTGAGAAAGCAAGGCACCGAGTCCGGGACTTGAACCACAGACAGGCACACAGGAGTTTAGTGTCTTAACCACCACACCACCTGCTGGCCCCAGATATAATTTTAAGATAAACTAGTAATACACATTTTTTATAACACATAAACAATAAGGTTAACAATTATTTATGAAATGAATATTATAAAAGTATGAGGAAATTAGAAAAGATGACTTCAAAATTTCGAAATGACTTGTCCTAGAAATGACTATGAACTTGTCATAGAAAATAGCATTTGTAAATGAAAACAAGCCCAAAAGATAGAGCGTTCAGCGCTGTGACCCCGCACCCTCGCCCCACCTCAGAGCTCATTCTAGGCGGGTTTCAATCAAGCTCCTCACGGGCTCCCTGCCTCGCTCTCTCCTCCCACACTCTGCTGGTCGGCTGACCTTCCTAGACCACCCACACCCGTGCCTGAAAGCCCTCAGCGACTGCTCCCTGCAGAAGGGCACCTGAGCTGGACACTCACGGTGTGTCGAGGCTGGCCCACGCCTGCCTCCAGGCCCCAATCCTCCTCACTCTGGTTACGCATCACCCCTGGGCCAGTTGCACAAAACGATTTCTTTCAGGAACTGCCCACACTCTTCTCTCCAGCTCTTTTGCTCATTGTTTCCTCTCACTGAAATCCTCTTCCCCTTTCCCTGCTAAAATCCTGCCCAATGCTCACAGCTCTTCTGCAATGCCCCTCCCCGCGACAGCTTTCCTGCCAGCGGCAGGTGATCTCCACTCTGACGCCTCTGCATACGTCCCCATGTACCCAGGCAGGGGCATTCCCTCCCTATCATCGTGACTTGTCCCCTGCAGCCCCTGAAGTGAATGGCACAGGGCCTCACACCCGGAGGCACCAGGGTACGGACTGAGTCACGCTGTACCCATGTTCTACTCAAGAAAGCCTCGGAAGAAAAATACTTTGCGTGTAGAGACAGATAACTAAAGAGTTAGTGACAGTATTGGGGGGAATAACTTGTTTTTCTAAGTTTTTGCTTATAGGATTTGTATACTCGCTGGAGAGACTGAGAGAAGGAGAAAGTGAGAAAGCACCCCCGGGGCGATGGCCGCACCACAATCCCTTCCCCTCCATTCTCCCATTGGGATTTTGGGCACACACGCATATACACCCGGGGTGTTCTTGAACCCACTGGATCTGGGACTTGAACCATGCAGTTGGCCAGGTGGGATCCAGTACCTTAACCATCATGCCACTTGCTAGCCCTGTAAATCTGTTTCTGTAACATGGGAAATGTAAACCAGCGGCAGCAATACTTTATACAACTAAGACCTACAGGTTTTTGTGAAATTATGATGAGATTCTTTTAAAAAGGATGGCACTCAAGTAAAATCTCTTTTGAGCTAAATAATAAATGAACTAACCTTTTTAAAATTTAACCTACCTACCTTCTTTCTTTCCTTCCCTTCCTTTCCCTCCCCCTCCCCTCCCCTCTTTCTTTCCTTCCTTCCTTCCTCCCTTCCTTCCTTTTCTTTCCTTCCTTCCTTTCTTTCATTTTGACCAGAGAGGGACAGAGCGAGAGAGAGAAAGGGAGAAAGCAAGCCAGCAAGTCTGGGACTCACACTGTGTCAGCCGTGTGGGAGTCCAGAGTCCAACGCCCACAACCACCATGCCACCTACCCACCCCTAGCCTTTTTATGGAAAATAAATACATAAATAAATAAATAAAATGAATCATTTCTCCTCGGTCAAGTTATAAACAGTAATACCAGAAATGTTAACTACCAATTCCGTTATAATGAAATGAGAAACAGCCCATAACCCCTGTATGTAGTCAGGCACAGGAAAAAGCGGACTTCCTCCCTCTGTGAAAGCACTCCCACGTAACAGGAAGCCAGGCTAAAAATCACCAGCTTCTCTTTAACTAGTCTCCAAAAGTGAATGAATGAATGAATAATAAAGAGCCCTGAGACTTGGTTTAGACCCGGCCATGGTAACACGGGCAGGAGGGCCACGTTCAGTTGGCAGTTCAGCAGAAACAGGCAGGCATGGTGGCCGTACCTGGGGTCCTAGGTATTGCAATGGGATGACACCTGTCCAAAAACACATCCCCCCATTCTCTCATAAGGAAAGAAATAGATATTGGGGGGTTAGCAGGTAGCGAGGTGGTTAAGGCACCGGACTTCCCCGTGCTGACTGCAGTTCAAGTCCCATACCTGGCAGCCTGAAACTCACGCCAGGCACGTGTGCGTGCATGTCCAAAATCCCAAGAGGAGAATGGAAGAGAAGGGACTGCAGCATGGCCGTTCCCCGGGGCGTGATTTCTCACTTTCCCTCTTACTATCCCTCTCTAGTCAATGCATGTGCCCTACGGCAAAAACCTTAAAAAAATAGATACTGAAAACCATAGTATACCTTGTTAAGATCTAGGGCAATTAAACATAATACATTAATAAATAAATGAATGTATTCAGAGTTTCCTAAAAGCCCATGTTTCTTAAAATATTTCTGGAGAAGATTGGTTTCTAAATAATCCCATCTGTTGCTGGAATACAACAGAAACACCTAGAGGCGGACACACTTTCTGCTTTCTGCTGCCTCTGTGGGGGCCTGGTCAAGCCGCTTCCCCGACCCACGACACGCCCGGTGACAGCCGCAGGGAGCGGGGACGTGTGTCTACCTTCTGCTCCCGCTCCTTGAACACGGCTTCGTGGACGCTGCATGCAAAAAGTGAGGTAGGCAGGTCGCTCAAATCCATCATCTCTTCCAAATCATCTTCGTTTTCACCAAAAACCATCCCTTCTTCCTCCTCTCGGTCACTGTTACAGAGCTCCGGCCGGCTCTCATCCCAAGACTGCAGAGTGTCCCTGAGCATTGTTCCCCAGGCCGGCCTTCGCCGCTTGCAGGTTCTAGGATGTCTCCCAGCCACTCGCTGTTAGGAGACACAGAGATAAGACCAAATCACATTCCCGTCCATCGACTTCCCAAGGCAGCAATGCATCAGCCGAACGCTTTTACCCAGGAAACAGGTCGGTGACTCAGTTACGGTCCCCGTCGAAGGGGTCCACGGATTCTCGTCTAGACTGCGCGGCGTGTTTTATGTAATATACTTCACTAGCAATGCTACATTAAGAATAAAAAAAGAAAACAAGGCAGCGTTGTGTAGTAAAGTTGGGAGAAAACGGATAACCTAGAACGAGAGCACATCAATATGTACAGCAGCTTATGGGCAGGAGGGAAACGCCGACCAGAACTGCCTTCACATATTTGTTTTGGGTCCTGGGTCCACAACACTGAAGCTGGCAGAGCAGAGTGACACCCACGCGGATCCACTCACCAGCTGCACCCTGCGGGAAGCTGACTTTCCCTTTTTTTTTTTTTTAGGATTTTTTATTTTTTTGCCATAGGGTACATGTGCTCACCAGAGAAAGACAGACAGACAGAAAGGGATGGAAAGCAAGAAATCACCCCCCAGGGGGGATGGACACGCCGCAGTCCCTTCTCCTCCACTCTCCTCTCAGGATCTTGGGCACACACACACGTGCGCGCCCAGAGTGAGTTTTAAGCCACCAGGTCTGAGACTCCAACTATGGTCAGCCACATGGGGGTCCAGCGACGTCACCATCACGCCTTCTGCTGGTCCTGATAATAAAAAAGGTGCCCTTTTTGGTGAACTTCTAAAGAAACACTGTTTTTAAGCCAAAGGCCTGGAGCTGCCTGTGCCCCTCTGTGAAGCAAGCAGCCTGTCCTACGCTGGCTGTTCCCATGAACTGCACGCCACGTGCCCCACACGACTGAGGCCGGCAGGGAATCTAATGAATACCCCCGAGGCACTAAAAATGAAGTCAGCTCCTGTGACGCTCCTGTTGGTACCTGAGCTGTGGTTTGTCCTTGTACAGTCCCACGTCACTTAGCGACAGGGTACGTCACGAGATGCATGGGCAGGCATTTGTGTTGTGCCGTCACAAGCCCAGGCCGCGGCTGCGGGGGGACACAGCAGGTGGGGTGCGGCCCACCCTGCCAACACTATGGGGGTGCGACTGCTCCACGAACACAAGCCCACAGTGCGGCCCGCCTCCCGACACAAACTGGTGGAGGGGGTGGGGGGCAGCCCACTCCGTGATCACGAGCCCGAGGGCCCGCCCCACACAGACTACAGGCAGCACCCAGTGGGGCTGCTGTCCTATGTCCCACAGTCCGCCAGGGACCAACGGTGTTAGGCAGGGCAAGATTGTATTTCAAAGAACACAGGCCACAGCACAGGGCTTCTTACAGAACGGGGACCGTAACACGCGGGAGGCCACACTGCTGTGCAGCACCACTGAGGACAAATCTAAGGGGCTCTGCTTTACTCCTGTTTGTATTTTTTCTTTTTTGGAGAGGGTTTTGCCATAGGGGGTGTGTGCTCACTAGAAAGACAGAGAGAAACAGAGAGACAGAAAGCGAGAAATCCCCTCCCGGGGGGATGGCCATACCGCAGTCCCTTCTCCTCCATTCTCCTCTCGGGATCTTGGGCATGCACACACACGCGCCCGGCGTGAGTTTAAGCCACTGGGTCCGGGACGCGAACCACAGTCGACTACATGGGAGTCCAGTGACATAGCCATTATGCTAACTGCTGGTCCTAAAACTTTACTCCTTTTTACAAACATGTCCTGAGTGCCTATTGCTTGGGACTGGGGGATAGAGATGAGTAAGACAGCTCTTCCTCATGGAGGTCCCCCAAAGCAAGAACTCAACACTGCTCCCACTTCCCTCTCCTAAAGGACCCTGGCCCTTTACCGGCTGCTCTATTTCCGGTCTCCCCTTCCCCACCTGTTCTTTTCACAGCAGGCGTGTTCAGGGCCCCTCCACTGGGCTGACCTCCTCTCAGTCCCCCTGTCTGGCCTTCCTTGCCAACTTTCTGGAAGGAGCAGTGTCTGCTGCATTCACCTCTCACCCCAGGCACTGTCACACGCAGGGCGACGGCCTTCTGCCACTACTCTAACTGGCAACTGTCCTCACTATGAACAGCAACCGTGTCCCAAAGCCGGGACCTGACTTCAACTCTCGGCTATCTCCTGGCCTGGGACCCTTCTGTGCCCCTGCCTTCTGGGTCTTGGTCCCTCCTGGCTCCTCCTCCCTACCAGCTCTCCTTGTCCCCTGGCTGCACTTTCCCCACACTCCCTTTCCAACCCCCGTCCCTGTGAGGTGTCAGCCCCGCTCTTCTGCTCGTCCTCCTCTCACTCGGGGACCCCAGTCACACCGGGGTACCTCACCGCCCGAGCACCGGGACGGTAACCTAGGTTTCCACTCCTCAGGCTCACGGGGTCACTTCACGCACTTCTGAAGCCAGGGAGGATGCCACTGATGCCGAAGGGAAGCCAGACCAAGATCGCGGGCAAGGAAGAGCAGGAGCAGCTGGAAAGAGTCCCGGAGATTCTGGTCTGCCCCCGGACTCTGCTGTCACACATGGGAAAAGCACTGACCTCCAGAACTACTTCCAAGTGTGTGTGCTCAGACTCAGTCTCTCTCTCTGGAGCTCAGTATTGCTTTTTTGGAGAGGTTTTTGCCATAGGGTGCGTGCACTCACCAGACAGACAGACAGAGACAGAGAGACAGAAAGCGAGAAATCACCCCCCAGGGAGGATGGCCATGCCGCAATCCCTTCTCCTCCATTCTCCTCTCGGGATCTTGGGCACGCACGCACACGCGCCCGGCGTGAGTTTAAGTCACTGGGTCTGGGACTCGAACCGCGGTCGACTACATAGGAGTCCAGCAACACAGCTATAACGCTAACTGCTGGTCCCAGTATTGGTATTTTTAGCCTTCTATTAAGCTTAGTTACCAGAGCAGTCAACAGGTGCCACAATTTTTAACTTATCCCTTTTATTACTATTTTTAGGTTTTGCATTAAGGCACGTGCGCTTGATGGAGAGAAGTGAGAGAGAGACAGCCCTGGGGGTGGCCACGCTGTAGTCCCCTCTCCATTCTCCTCGGGATCTGGGCACACACACAGGAGTCCAGCATGGTTTTCACGCCACTGGGTCGAATCACAGTCAGCCATGTGGGAATCCAGCCACCTTAGCCGCCATGCCACCTGCTGGCCCCTACTCCTCTCATTATCGCGCTCCGAACCTCCAGTGTGGAACGGGGCCCTGGTGTGGGGGGGGTCTCACTGCGACTTTCTCTCGTCACCTTTTCTCCCAGACCAAGTTTCCAGGTAGCGTCTGCAGCTCAGTCCCATTACACACTGACGTCATGATTACTTGTTTACACATCACTTGCATTTAGGAGAGGGTGGGCCTCCGACACCCCGGACCCCCGCACGGTGGTCGGCTCACAGTGCATGCGCAGTAAGGCCTGCTGAGTAAGAGCAGAGTGCACTGTGATGACCCCGCGACTCAGCATGGGCACGGGGAGGGAGAACTCTCAGCCCACAGAGCACGAACAGAGGCGAAGGACAGAGAGAGCAGCATGCGCCGAGGTCACGTGACCTGGTGGGTGGGCCGGGTACAAGGACTGGAAGCTGGCGCAGGGGCCAGGCGGCCATGGAAGTAGGGTTACCCAGCCCTGACATGAGAACAGTCACTCCCCGCGTGCCACTGAAGGTTCTCAGCCAGGGAAACAATGTAACCCACCCTTCACTTCGGGATCACGAAAAGTCCACCGTCTCTGCATCTTACACGGTGGAGGCATGGATTTCTTAACCCCTCTTCCCCACCAACCCATCAACTAGATGTAGGGAGAATACTTCGCCAGTTTTCTGGAGGTTGATGAGTTAGGGAGCTCTGAATAGGTAGATTTTTTAAATTTGCAGAGTTTATTTTTGATAAGATTTGGTTTGGTTTGAAGTTCCTTCCTCCAACCCCTAAAAAGGAAAAAAAAAAATACGACAAACAAGAGCACAGGAAACAATCTTCCACTGACTAAAAAAAAATTCTTAGAATGTTACTCCTTCATTTCCTGTTTTCTATCTTCAGTTTTGGGTATTTTTTTAAACCGTAACTTCAAACAAAAGTTACAAGAATAGTATAAGGAAGTCCTGGGAACCAGCAGTTAGTGTAATGGCTATGTCGCTGGACTCCCACATAGTCGACCGCGGTTCGCGTCCCGGACCCGGTGGCTTAAAACTCATGCTGGGCGCGTGTGCGTGCGTGCCCAAGATCCCGAGAGGAGAATGGAGGAGAAGGGATTGCGGCGTGACCAAACCCCGGGGGGGTGATTTCTCGCTTTCTGTCTCTATGTCTCTCTCTGTCTGTCTGGCGAGCGCACGCGCCCTACAGTGAAAATCTCTCAAAAAAAAAAAACAAACAAAAAAACTATTCAGTAGCAGACTTGTTGATGAAATGAGCTCCAGAGCAACCACTGGAGGCAGTGGGATGGCTCCAGTATCCAAACTTCTTAAGAGGTGGCATGCTGGTGAAGGTGCTGGACCCCCACATGGCTGACCACGGTTCAAGTCCTGGACCCGGTCAAGAACTTGAACCAGGCCAGGCACATGTGAGTGCATGACCGAACCCCTAGGAAGAAGGGACTGTGGCATGGCCATGCCCCCTGGGGAGTGACTTCTCACAGTCCCTCTTGCTGTCCACATATCCTATGGTGAAAACCTTAATGAAGAGGGGGGAAAAAATAAAAAACAACTTCTAAAGATTTAAAATAGAGAGCTAGCTGGAAAAAGGCCTTTTACGGGCCTTATGCACAGTGAATTATACACGCATACAGTATTAGACACGCTATCATTGAGATGGTTGTTTGCTCACTAAGGAGAAGCCATGAGGCTTTTTTAGATACAGCTTAAGTCAACACTGTTAACTATTTCCTAATTTTCGGACATCATAAATGCAGCTAAATGAAAATAGATAAGGAGATCATAAAAGGTAACCCAGCTTGTACTTAAAAGGGGGAGAACTCAAGGGCCAGCAGGTGGCATGGGGTTAAGGCACTGGATCCCACATGGCTGACTCTGTGATTTGAGTCCCAGATCCAGCAGCTTGAAAATTATGCCAGGTGCGCGCGCATACATGCTCAAAATCCTGAGAGGGGAGTGGAAGAGAAGGGACTTGTGGTACATCCCCCTGTGGGGGGGTGGGGGGGTGGTAATTGCTCTCTGTCTCTCTCTCTCAGGTGAGCACACATGCCCCGTGGCCAAAACCCCCCCAAAAATGGAGGGAGTAAACTGTTTCAGCGCAAAGAATGAAAGCCCAGAAGTACATTGGTTCCATGCGGCAATTACTGAGTTGTTGGTAGCTCTGCCCAGCGCCAACTACTGCAAGACCAAGCTGTCCTCGGTTTACTAACCAGGGAAGCTGGACTGGCCCAGCAGAAAAGGGCTGCACCAATCGCTACCGCCCAGCGTCTGCGGGCAAAGGTCTGTGCTAATCAGGGTTCAGCATCATCTCCAGCGCAACTGTAGCTGCGGCTGGCTTCCGGCAAATTGTTTCTTCATGGAAACATCAAATGAGTGGAAAAACTCCAAGCAGCATGACCATCTGCTCAGGAGCCACAAGCCTTGTGACAAGAGGAATCTGTCAAGGCAGAATGTCAAGCGCATCAAGTTCTCTTGCATTTTCAGTCTGACCAGGGAAAGGTGAATTCACTTCCTGTAGGGTATTTTCTAAAGACAATTTCTCACAGTGATATTATTCCCAGTGTGGTAAACACCTGAATGTCTTGGCCAGCTGCCCGTCTTCACCTACTGAGGTGTCTGGAATGCTCTCTCTCTCTCCTGGGAGCAAACGGGTACTGTTTCCAGCCATGCACGTGCTCTGCTCAGCGACCCTGGAAAAGTCACTGGCTCCTTCACACGTGACCTCTCAAATACCATCAAAGAAAAAATCCCAGAACAGCCTAATTCGTCCACTCTCTCACAGGTTCTAGCCGACCGGATTTCCAAGTCACATAATGTTTTGTGATGTTTTGCTTAAATCTTTTGACCAACAACTCCTCTAATGTTATACAAAATTTGCTCTTGGGCTGTCAGGTGTCATGGTGGTTAAGGCACTAGACCTCCACACGGCTGACCACGATTCGAGTCCTAGATGAACTAACTCAGTGGCTTGAAAAGTCACAGTGGGCGCCATGTGCGTACAGGCCCAAGATCCCACAAGGAGAACGGAGAAGGGACTGCAGTGTGGCCACCTCAACTAGGGATGATTTCTCACTTTCCCTTTCTCTGTCTCTCTCTGGTCAGTGCATGCACCCTATGGCAAAAACGTAAAACACAAGAAACAATTTGCTCTTTTGTTACCCTAACGTCCACATGTTTAAGGGCTTTATAGATGCTGGATTCAAGTAGCAGGAGAAAAATCTTATTTTCCCTAGAAGCACAGAAATCATTTCCTAAGCTAAGACAAAGAAAAAAAAGGTTTGCTAGTGCACCAAATTCCTTTCTAAAACTTCTAAATTATAAATTAAGATAAAATTAAAGACATATGGGATCAGCAGTTGGTGAGACAGCTATGTCGCTGGACTCCCATGTAGTTGACCGCGGTTCGAGTCCTAGACCCAGTGGCTTCAACTTGCACCAGGCACAAGTGTGTGCGCGCCCAGGATCCCGAGAGGAGAAGCACCAGGCACATGTGTGTGCGCGCCCAGGATCCCGAGAGGAGAATGGAGGAGAAGGGATTGCGGCGTGGCCATTCCCCCTGGGGGGCGATTTCTCAACTTTCTGTCTCTCTGTCGAGCACACACACCCTATAACAAAAATCTCTCCAAAAAAAAAAAAAAAAAGGCACACACAACATTCAGGATTGTAAGTATGAGGATCCTGTAAGTATCAGGAAACCTCTCCCTTCCAGTCTCTCATTTCCAACCTAAAGGTAGGTTTGACTATTTTTTGGTAGCTGGTGAAAACGAACTTGGTGCAACAGTAAAGCAGGTGAAAATTAGATTTTTGTACTTGGTATGTGTTAATAACCTATTCGCCATTTTTGTAAAATTAATCTAGAATCGATCCTGTTACAATCATCAAAGTTCCAACTCAACCTGGAAGAACGGTATTCATTAGCATGAGAGGGTCAGCCGGGATAAACAGTAAAATGAACCATCAGAACTTACGGAAACGGGCATTAAAGAACAGCTGAAACACAGAAAGGACGGGTGTTGCTTGTTTTACTGTAGATAATCCACTTCTCTCAACATCACCTCTACGCTCAAGGAGACAAGGCAGATGGTCTGACCTCGACCTTCGGAGGTTTTGGGGGTTGAAGTGACAGATGAAATAGAACTGAAGAGCTTTCATCATTTCACAGGGTTCAGCCTAAAGGATGTCCAAGACACTATTTTTCATGATGTTCGTGCCTAAATCTTTCAAACAACCCCTCTAACACCACACAAAACTTCCTCTTTTTGGTTACCCCAAGGTTCACATTTAGCTTTTAAAGATGTCAGATTTTAATAGCAGGAAAAATCGTATTTCCCCTAAAAGCACAGAAGTTGCTTCCTAGGCTAAGAAAAAACAAAGGCTTCCTAGTGCAGTAAAAGGAAGCTGGTGAGAGGAACAGGGCTGGGAGTTTTCAGGCTTTGTCTTCTTGCATCAGCCTGTTTCTAGAACACCAATATGCAATTTCACCAAAAAAGGGGAAAAATCCCGAATTTATGTGATGCACAAACACATCTAGCCTGAGTCTTAATGTTTTATTTTTTTCCCCCAATCTAATGTATTGGACCAAAGCTAATAAAATAGCCCCAAACCGATTTTAGGTCATATGCAATCACAGCGACAGATCAGTCAGTGCTTCTCTTGCCAAATAGCGAATCAGAGACTTCTATGAATCGCAGACTTCTATGAAGTTCAATGTGGTGAGCAAGGTGGCTTCCGGTAAGGTGGAGCGAGGGTTTCTGACTCTGCGTACGGCACTAAAATGCCACTTCAGGGCAGGAGTGATCGCGCCGGGTCTGGACTGCCCGCCACGCCAGAGCCCTAATCCCTGAAGGAGATAATCGGATTCCGCACGAAGCTGTTAGGAGGCGGCCGGGAAACACCGCTGTCGCTTCCTCCCTGTCCATGCAGCCGGCAGCTGCAGCTTTGCAAGTTTCAAAAAGTGAGGGAGTAAGTCCTGCGGGGGTCAGTCCAGCGCCCCGGAGCAGGGGCTTGCACTTTCGGGCTGCCGGGCTGGGTTCACTACGCCCTTGCAGCTTCCGGGCGGGCTGGGCCTGCCGCCTCTGGACAAGTCAAACAGCTGGCAGAGGAGAGGGAAACCACTGCTGGGGGACGACACCGGCCCGGAGGCTGCGCGCGAGGGGCTGGACCTGGAGGCCAGGCGGCCGCAGCAACTCGGGGGTCTCCAGCCCACCTCCCCCGGCATCGCGGGATCGCCGCTGCTTT